GTGGCAAGCATGACATTTGCAGCCTATTCCTCTTCCGCTAGACTTAACGAGCAATAACCCTTGCAGTGCATGGGGGCGCTATGCAAGGATTTTCTTTGTCATTCCTGAAGTTCAGCTTTAGGATGTTAAAGTCAGAATTCAGAACTCTCTTCCAGTGCTCCTTGTCACATTAAAAATTAGAAGGCTGGATGGCTGCTGAGTCACTGCTAGGATGGGGGAGCAGTGTAAGCTGAGCTGCTGAAAGCTAAGATTCTTCTGCTGTAAATTTTGATGAATTACTCCACAGTGCCTTCTGCTACAGAGGTTAGTGAAGCCTTGTTTGAGAGCTCATTAATTGCTTGATAAGAATGTGTACATATTTAAATGTCTGCAGGCTGGCCACTGTTGCGCTGTAAGGTGCACTAACCTGTTATCTCTCCTTCGGCTACTTTATGTTCTCTGCCAATCAGAGGACAGTGCACAGGCATTCTGGTTGACCCAAGTGCCTGAAGGAAAAGTTGCAGGCATGGTTTCTAATTGGCTTTTTACTTTGTTTATTTCACTTATCCATTGACTATGATTGAATATGTTAGAAATACAGATAAATCACATTTGTGTACCACCCAGAGCAAGCTCTTCAGTTTCTATGGCAGATTAACAGTCTGCTACTTCATCTCCATCTGCATGTGCAGTGTAGAGGTCACCCCTATACAGGTTTTACGGTTCTGCCCTTTTTTCATTTTCATCTTTTGTTTCTAGTTCCAAATCTTCGCCACGTTCTTTTTTTATTGTGGTTTCATCATAGTATGATGTTATTATGCTGAATGTTAAAAATGAGTTCCCCCTTAAATCTAGCTTTTTCACATGAGCGATCGGAAATCTATCCTCTAGCGGTATTAGATGCGGGTCACCAAAAATCTGCCATGTTACATCTGAGTAAAGTAGGTCTTTAGTAAAGCGTGAATAATTGTGATGTTTTGCTCATATGCTGTACTTCCTGTACTATGCTGTAACTTATATGTTAATGCAGTACTAGTTTAGCTGCCATGCTCTTTTACTGAGCCTGAAACATAGGACATTGCTAATCTTTACTATGTAATTCCCATTTTGTACTTATAGCCACAGGCTCTGAATGATTAATTATCTGTGGAGATGTGCTTATGATTGCTGAAACTTGTATTTGCAGAGCAGAGCTGGCATAGAAAGGCTTCTAAATAAGCAACTGTGGTGTTCTTTCTACATAAATGAGCCTTTGATTTCTTTTTTTAATAGATTTTGAACTAGTTCTTGTTTTTTTTTTAGTCAGAATTGCATTGCTGTTATGTAAATTAACTTTCTGTGTTGTCATGAGGAAAGGTGCAGTGTCACCATCCTTTTAGTAGTAATTAACGCTAAGGGAATATCTCACCAAAAAAAAACATTTTTGTTCTTGTATCTTAATGCAAACTTCTGGAAAAATCAGTCAGCCAATCACAGAAGCAAGAAGCGACATTTCTGGGGGAGTTCTGTACACCAAATGTGTAATGAACACTTCCAGGTCTCCATATTGCATTGCATTTTTTTTTGATGGATTTTAAACTTTACAGCAGCTATAGGTTTAAATGGAAATCTAATATTTAATAGCATTTACATTACAAATTGGGTTGTGCAACAATTATATATGCTACATTAATTTTGAGATTTGTTTTCATTATCCTTTAAGCCAACCAACTGAGTGTTCTTGGACTGTACTTCCTTGTGTCGGGGCAAGGAGTCTGGGAACATAATTATGTTATTCATGTTATCAGGAGATTTAAAAAAAAAAAACCAAACAAACAAAAAAAAAAAAAACTTGCAATGCATTAATACCTACCAAAGTAGAAATAACACCTACCCTGGATAAGTGTCCCAGCACCAGAATCTATGGTTCAACATACACTGCCTCACATACAGTGAGATGTATTCAGCTATGTAGGTGGAACATACAATGCAATGAGGGGCTGATGGTGCAAACAGCAAAATACACAGATGAAATTATATATATATTGTAACAAGGACACTCCACTGTAGCCAGGAGGTGCAAGTAAAATGCAATTTTATTATGGCAAACACAAAAAGTCTTTCCATCCACAGGGAAGATTCCACTGTTGCACAAGACAGTTTCTAGCAGCAACATAAAGGACAGTCTTTTAGTATCGCTCTGTAGCTTTTCACAGCTCCAAGAAACTCACACTGCTCACCCCTCGTGAGCCCTCAATTTGCTCTCTCAGCAGTGTGTACCACAGGTCCTAGGGTCACCGACCTTCCCGACCTCTCCCAGCCTTCCCTGACTGTCCAACGTGTCCAGCACGCACCTGAGTCTGTGTCCGTGTGCTTCCTGCACACACACACAACTCCAACACAACTCTCTGAACTCTGGTCCAGACTCCTAATAAGGCTGCTCTCAGCCACCTGATCTAGCTATACTGGTCATTGGTAACACCTGGCCCCAGGAATGGAGATCTCATCCGGCACAGAGATCTCCAAAGCTCTTGATCCCAGCCACATTTAGGAAAACCTGGAAGGACCTGAAAAGCCAGGCTCTTCCTTATAACATTGTTTACATTCTGGAGCCTCTCAGCCCCTTTGGCTGAGAGTCCTGGGTGCCAATGTTGAGAGAAAATTGTTGCAATAACAAATGTTTAGGCATTCTCATGTTTATTTCTTTTGCTTGTATTGGTATGACACAAAAGAGTGGAGAACAAAAGCCACATCTGACACATTCCACGCAAAACTCCAAAAATGGACTGGACAAAATGGTTGGCACCCTCTGCCATTGTCTGTGATTGTACAATAAGGGAGCGACAGCAGGCTTTTGATGTAATCTGTCTGCTCCCTCCTGCCTTTTCCCAGTCAGCAGATGGGAATGCAGCACACATGATACCTGGTACTGCCCCTCCTTTACCCAGTATGAATGCTCCAGTACAGGGGATTACAATACACTGAAATCAAGATAGTTATGCCAGTTGCATGTGAAATACATTTAAAGATTTTTAAATAAATGCCTACCTGAATTCACTGTTGTATTTCTAATAGTTACCTGAAGTTCAGCTTTAAATATTTAAAATTATTATTTTATATAATGCAGTTTAGATTTAGTGGTCCTTTATAACCTTAATAATCTTGTTTGCTTGTATTTCTGCATTCTAAGAAGTGCCTTAACATTCTAATTTCAGGTTCCTTGCTAGTAGCATGGGAACAAGGGCATTTTCCCACGACAGTATCTTCATACCTGATGAACAAGCTGAAGATGACCAAGAAGCTCAGGCCTCATCGCAAGACTGTGTTGTAGGAAAAGTTAAATCTCTCCAGGTAAAGCAGATATCTAACCTTAAACTTTGTTTTTAATGTTGGATAAAGTTTATAAGTTTTGGAAACCTCCATCAGGTTTATATTGGTGTCTAAGATCCTGCTGGGTATTCATCCTGGTGACCACTATCACTGGGACAGAATGTGATGGAAAATCAAAACTATAACAGCTGTCACCATGACAGAAAAAGGGGGAAGAAAATGTCCAGTAGGGACATCTGTTCCGGTGAAAATTGTCTAACATGGGATTTCCCCTCCCCTTGGAGTGATTTCCTTTCACTTCCAGTTAAAGTAGAACTATGAGGTGAGTGCTTTTCACTCACCTCATAGTTCTAGCCGACCTGTGACAATGAGACTGTCACAGGTCGGCTCAGTAGATCGGGAGATGAGCGAACACATACCGGCGTTCGCTCACCTCTCGATCCTGTCACGGCTCTCTGGATTCCCCGCTCCGATCCGCCAGCGCTGACTGGCGGAACGGACGGGGGAGGGGGCGGGTACAGCTGGCTCTGCCTCTAGATAGACAGCTGTCAGTCACGCAGCTGGGCGGATCCCGGCACAATTGTCGGGATCCGCTTCAGCGTCTCAGTATACCGCGAGCAGCAGCTTGCGGTATACTGCGGCGTCTCAGTATATTGCGAGCTACAGCTTGCAGTATACTGAGCCTAGGGTGACGGGAGGATGCTAGTTTGTGTCCTCCCGTTACCCTAAATAGAACTATGGGGAAAAGCCTTAACCCCATAGTTGTCCTTTAAGTTTCCGAGAAAGGAAGCAAGCAGAGATCTACCCAATTGGACATTTAGAGCAAAAAAAAACCATAACAGAGGTTTTTACTTCATCCAAAATGCCAATGAACAAAGTGACTGATTTTGTAGCAGTGGACACCAACATGTTTACCGCACAAACCATATTCAACTAAAGCAAAGGGCAATGAGCCTTTCTAGATATGAAAAAAGCTCTCAGAATTCTACTTGGCTACACGAACAATCAAATGTACCACGCAGCAGTTATTCCGAGAGATAATTAGCTCATGCTGGTAGGCTGCTACATATAGCCTCAAAGGAAACCCAGATTAACATGTGAATTCCAAGCCACTAGGTGGGAACACTGAACAATGGCAACTGTTTTACAGCTATTGAGTCAAATATAACAAATGGCAGTGACTGACATTAAGTAATAAAGTTTAAAAATATTATTTGTGGGAGGCTGCTGGCTAATGTGAGCAATATCAAAGCAGTCAAATTTGGTTTGAAAATCATTATTTGGGGAAATCTTTTTATATAAACAGTTTTGTTCTGTATCCTTTTGAAGTATTAAAGTAGTAGTAAACCCTCAAACTTTTTTTTAATACTGAATCCAGATCAAACAAATATACATTGCGCAGCAAAGCATTGCTTTACATTTTTGCCCAAACACTTACAATCATCATGTTTCTGAACAGCTGCTTCCAAGTCTCTCACCTTAGCTTCCCTGAACTTCCTGTCTTGTACAAGATCACAAGGGGCAGTGCAGACTCCAGCAACTGTTCATCTACTAACTTGGAGAAGGGGGCCAGTGGGGATGGAAGTAGCTTGATTTGCTGTGTCTGTGTGTTTGTGGATACGGTTCGTGTACCCATCGCACTCAGAGCCGCTGCTCCAAAAATGGAGGGTGGGTGCAGCAGGTGTCAGCGGGTGGCTTCCGACAAAATATAAGTAAAGGATAGAGAACGGCACTCCAAAGCAAGTTCAGTACGTGTTTATTAACGTACTAGTTGCAAGTAGAACACTCTAAACAATGTTTCGGGGTCTCATAGGATCCCCTTCAAACACTTGTTTGCCTGATGTAGGGGATCCTGTGAGACCCCGAAATGTTGTTTAGAGTGTTCTACTTGCAACTAGTACATTAATAAACACGTACTGAACTTGCTTTGGAGTGCCGGTGTCTATCCTTTACTTATTTGTGTGTTTGTGGAGACACACACAGCTTACTAGCACACACAAGGGTGACTGCATAGCACTCTGCTTGAGAAAGGAGTCACTCTAAAACAGGATATCAGGGTCAGTACTCAGGGGACCAGCTGATTCTTCAGGAAACTAAAACTTTTAAATCCATTGTAAGTGATTTCATCAGCATTTGAAATAGCTTAAAATCATCTTGACTTTAATATCACTTTAACATCAGGAAAGATGTACAATTTTATCCCTACACAAAATGTTACCTTTGTTTATGTATTTCAGCAACAACTGGGCAAAAACATCCGTTTTGGACAACCGCCACCGATCAATGTTCCCGTGAAGAAAATACAAGATTTGGGATCAAGCATAGAGAAAATGGAAGAAACACACCTCAGCCCCATGGAGGCTTCAGGAGAATGTGACCCAGGCCTTATAACTGATGGAAACAGGGTAAGACTGAATCATCAGAATCATAGAAGATGAAAGGAGTGGTAATGCTGTGAGAAGTAGAATGAGAAGCATGCTAAAAATGAAACGAACAAACTAAGGTGACACTAAGCTCAGGAGTTAAATCTTAAAAATACATTCAAGTACCCTATTAAATTTTTTAAAATCTTTTTTTGTGTATCACTCAGCTGTAGATCCCCAAATCATCTCTGAATTCATGCTGACACTGTCCTTCCTTCTGGAGGGTGGCTACTATTGTTCCCCATGTGTGTGTTGTAAAGTAGCCACCGCTCCAAGCTCACTCCTCGTGATGGACTACAATCTCACTACAAATTAGTAAACTAAACTTGAGATTGTAGCCCATGGCAGGAGCTGGCTTGGAGCGGTGACTACTTCACAACACACACAGGGACCATGGGGAACATAAGTAACCACCCTCCAGAAGGAAGGACTAATAAAGTTGATCTGTTGTGATCAATGAACTAAGACTGAAATAAATGAATTACGTTGGGTCATTAAAATGGTGATGAAGTATAACAGACAAGCACCTCCAGACCAGCAGAGATTTCACACAGCAGCAGTAGTGGATTATAGTAGTGACAGCTGGACCACAGCCCACCAATAAATTATATTTTTTTAAAAACAGCATTACTATCATGACCTTAACGAGAGAAAAATAGGACAGAGTCAGAATCCCAAGGTAGACTATAACTGAAGGGTTAGTTCAATAAACCATTACCTTATTTAATATATCCAGGGATCCAAAGCAGCTTTCTAAAAATAACCAATTACCTCTCTCAACAGAGCTGCACTTAGCATATGTTTTAACCTAAAAATAAAAGAATATGAACACTGGATACCCAATGAGGACAATGACATAATTACTTTAATTGATTTATACTGCATTTGGTCACAGTGCCTGTGCATACAATAATGATGAGTCCTGTCATGTACTACATCAACATAACGTAAAGAAAATGTCTTGTACTTGGTGATGAAATTATTTGATTCAAATCACAATGATTCTATAATTAAAAATAGAAGAGTTTGTATGCCTTTTGCTATATAGTTACTGGATACTGATAAGTAGAGTGCATTCATTTGGACATCAAGTGCAAAATGTTTACTTAACATTTTGATAAGGTTATACAAGACCTATACTTTGTTTTCTCTTTCCCTGTACTTTGAGAGTTGTCATCTCAAAGACTCAGAAACAGGAAGGCATCTAATCTACATACCTGTTTAAATCAATGTATTTAGTGCCAGGATCCAATATTTCTTTGCTGTAGAGTACTCATGTAGTTCCTGGAGAAACAGATCACTAACTGCTGGAAGAAGGCAACCTCTCTATGAGTATAGCAACAGTGCAGAGAGCATATCTGCAGACTAGGACTGAGACCAAGGAAGCATCAGGAATCACTCTATACATGCATTCTGCCTGTCATAATTAACTGGCTGGAGTCATTGATGGGATGAAGAGGCTACCTGCTCCCAGTTTGCAACTTGCTTCTTTAGGAATCGTGCAATTGAGTATAGAAATTATTATTTATGGCTCCAGGCATTGAAAAAATTGAATCAAACAGGTATGTGGAACAGACTCTGTTCTTGTCGTTTTCAGTCCTACTCTGCAGTTACAATGCAGACTGCGGACATGTTGAGAGTAAACAATGCAATATGTACACTGGCGTGAGCCTTGTGATGGCAGCTCTCACAGTACCGGGAATACAATGAGGTAATAGGTTATATTTGCAAAGTTACCTGGTATAAGCCCACCTGACCCCCACTCCCTCCCTCAACTCACTAGATTTAGGCACTGCCTGGTGCTGATTGCTGCCAATAACATTTCAATCTATTGTTGCAGAGTACCCAAGCGCTTTAAAAAATAAATAAATAAAGAAACTACACTAAATAAATCCCATCCCACAGTACAGTGCAGGCACCATAATGTACTGTGAGTTATGAGGTGCTTTTAATGCAATTTTCATTTCAGATGCGGGGGTCTGGAGTGGTGACAGGTGTGATTTAAGGAGATGTAACATTAAAACATGACTAGTGCATTCTAGTAAATCAATTATTGAAGTCACTTTTTACCCAACTCAGCAGTAATGTTTACCCTTCACTATAGGTATGTCACTTGTCTGGTAGCCTCTAAACATGAATAGGCATGCGGTGTGATACCCAGTAAGCCAACCAATATTTGAAACGTACATGGTCCATGGACAGTGGCTTATAACATATGCATTGTGGTAATAAGTGAGTGAATTTTGAAGCTCATTTAGAAGAATGATTCATTTTGAAGCATAATATTAGATAGATTATTCTGAATACTGGATTCTATGACTATATGATTCCGAAAACTGTGTCACATATTGTGACAACCAATTTCAAACTAAAGGAACAGACCATCTGGATTAACGTTGGAATAATGAAAGAATCTTTGGGTATTTGTCAGCTCGTACTCTGGGTTTTATTAATACACGTTGCCTGCTGGTAATGAATTGAATTAATAGGATAATACTTTAGCTGTGCTTACTATAATAACACACTTATGTGACTGATTGGCTGGGATCTTCAATTACATTATTGGAATCTGTAAACTGTATTTTATACATGTTGGGCCCTGCGGCTATATATTTATTTTTAAGTGTTTTTTAAAATGTGATATTAAAAGTAAATTTTGAAGCACAGAAGGTAAAGCTATACATCATTTATGACAGAAATGTGCCACAATAAAGTTATGGATCTTTTTTTTTTAATGGCGGACCTCCAGGCAGTTATATAAAAGACATAAATGAATGCAGCTCAGTCAACATTAACACATCATTAGATGTATTTTTTAATTGCAACAATGTAAGTGCCTCAATTTGACTTGGAATCTTGCACTCACTGTACAGTAGAGCTTAGACTGGGAGAGAGAGAAGAACCACAAGGAGTCAGTCAGTTGTTCTGCAGTGTTCACATGTTAATAGAGAATAGAGAATGTGCTGATAGGAGGAGAGAGTCACAGGGAGTGATAGAGAGATGATCTCATCAGTGTGCTACTTCTCCTTTCAGTGTCCATTTACAGGCTGGGGTGGGATAAGACCTGAAAGCATTACTTAACTGCAGCAAAAAAGATCAGGTTGCCTGACAGGACAGGAGACCTGATCTTTTTTGCTGCAGTTAAGTAATGCTTTCAGATGCTTTCAGTAATGCTATGGAAGAGCTGTATACATCTTAAAACTGGATGGACAGAAATGCAAATCTTTTGGCAGTAAACCAGCTTTGGTATATCTATATAATCTCTGTATTTAGCTATTTGTGTTCAGCTTTAAAGGCTCAAACACATTTTTTGAATAGAATAGGAAGGGTGAAAACCTCTGCTAGGATTTTAATGCTGGCTGTGGCCCCAATAGGTTTCCACTTACTTTCTGTCTCGATGGCCCCTGGTGTGTTACAACATACAACATTCCTTATTACTTTTTTCTGCTATCAACTGTATATATTATATTAAAGTGGCTTCTCATAACAATAAATACATTAGAGATTGTCCACTGCATATGATTCTAATAATAAGTATCCTTACCAACTAAACAGACATTTACTTAAAGCGGACCTTTACCCATATCTTTAAAATAACAACAAACACACCTTTAGAAATGTTTAGTAATGACAATCTACAAACACATACTTCTAGATAATTGCAGGCTTTGTATTCTTTGCATACATTATTGCTCTTTTCTTTCCCAGTCTTCTGGCAGTGGTCAAGTTTACTAAGGGCAGGTTACTAGCTCTGCATTTACTTCCCGAAACTCTGGCACATGTGACTAGACATGTGACTAGGACATGTGACCATGTACGTCATCTCAGGGGAGGAAAATGCCTTTCCAGATGAGATTTCCCAGCAATGCTCTGCTGATGTAACCTTCCCAGGATGCAACTCTTTGGCACTTACATAATTTATGCCAGAACTGGACCAGGAAGTAGCTGAACTCTATTTGTAAGTAAATGAAAAACAAGTTTGTTTAACTCATGAATGTAAGATAATTTTATATCAGCACACAAAGCTGCATGCTGATGTGATTTTTAGTGAAAGGGGGTAAACGTCCGCTTTAAGAGTTCAGTTATCCACAATATTCCTATTATATTCTTAGTGATGATGGCTGTGTTTTTTTCTAGGCAAGATCCCTGAGCTCCCACAGCCCACGCAATGTTCCCGAACCAGAACATAAGCCAGAGGAAAAGGTAAATTTCCTTTCCTGACCTGTGCACATCAATTCACCATAACATTCTAAACATGAATATTCTGCTCCAAATGATACTTATTTCAAATGATTGCAAAATGAGCAAACAGTGTGGCTTGGCAGTGGGCAAATCAAATACAATTGTGAGGTGCATCATTTGAGGGATCCAAAAGGGGGAAGAAAAGAGGACCTGATTTCACTATAGAGATCTTTAGTTATACTCCATTTAGAATATTGTGTCCAGTTCTGGAGAACTAACAAAATGATATTGATAAGATAGAACTAGTCCTGAGACTGACTTTAAAAATGGATGAGGGTCTGAGGGATAAAGCATATGAGGAGAGATTGCGGGCAATGAATATGTACAGTCTTCAGGAAAGGAGATATGGGGGAACATGATTGAAACCTTTACATACATTAAGGAGATGAATAAAGTTCAGGAGGGCAGTATTCCCAAAATGGAGCTAAGATCAAGAACAAGAAAGTTCCAAGCTAACCTTAAAAGTATTTTACCAAAAGAGTACTTGATACTTGGAACAGACTTGCAGCAGTGGTAACAGTAAGTAAATCTAAACATGCGGGCCATAAAAATAGACAAACGTGTTAAAAAATAGAAAACAAACAAAGAAAATCAAAAAGGAGCTAAGTCAATGGACCACTTGTTCTTTTTCTGCTGTCACTCTTCTATGTTTCTATGAGGCTCAAAGCTATTCAGCTGAACATGGGAAAGTGAGTTCAATATGCAAACAATACCGTGAAGGTAAACTATAACCATTTTGGGTTTATTTTATTTTTTATCTTTAAAGCTGAAATCTGGGAACATAGAAATCGACGCTTGTAGTGGGGCTCCTCCCGCAATGCAAGGGTTAAATGCTTGTTTTTGTCTAGGGGTAACAATAAAAGCAGTTATTATTGCTTTCTTTTTTGCTCCCCTGGCAGCTGTTCAAAAATGCTGTAAAATAAAAATAATTATAATAATAATTTTTCATAGGCACCTATAGAGCTGAGAGACTCTGATATTCTTGTCATACAAGTAGCAATTAAAAAACGGTTCTGCTTATCCTATATATATATATATATATATGTATTTTTAATGTTCTTTTTAATAAAGGAAACGTTGATTCACAGTTAATATAAGAACGTAGAAGATCTTATTTTGTGTAGTTAAAATAAGGTTGAATTGGTAAAATCATTTGATGGTCAAACAGTGTTTAATCATCATGGGGGTTTATAGTAACATTTGCCATGTTCCCCAAGGCAAGTATTCGCTGCTCGTGATATAGAATAAAGGAGACGAGGTCATCCGGCTCCTTAGTGAACCACTTCCAAATGTAAATTCACATCAGGAATAGGTGTGTTTTCACTTCAGTAAAAATGTACATGACAGTCATAAAACTCAGAGTTAGTAAAATGTAATGGACCAAGTTGAAGTTGATTGATTGGTCAATATAGTAAACCTTTGCTAGGGTTGCACCTGGCTGGCATTGCCGCTACATGGGACTATTGAGATGTGATGACAGGCACCATTCATTCATTACCATATAGATAAATGCAGGATAAATGAACATGCTGACGTACATCTATTGCATCAGAAATAAGATATGTGTCTGCAGAAATACCTCCAATTTCTCTTGCACAAATACTGTGACATATCTAAAGATTTGGCAGTTTTATGTTTATAGGTGAAAGTTATTTTGGAAGAAGGAATCAAGGGTACAGTAACAAGTCCTCATAAATCAGTACTCAATATGTATACTAGAATGCCCAGACTCCAGACATAATATAAATAAAATGTAAATCCATTGTACTTGTAATATTCTAAATACACAGGTGATGCAGAATCAGGTACAACAGACCAAGTTTGATAAATGCTTACCTAAACATTTCAGGAGTACCTTTGTGCTCATTCTCCCCATCATTCTAATGCTGCAAAATGTGTGTAGGAAGTCCTCCAGCAATGTAGGATGTTGTTACTGGTGTTCTGCTCCATTAATAGCTCTTGAGTTCCCCTTCATAGGTCTGCTGCAAGCTTTAACTCGTTATAAATTAGGTTTAGTGATGCTTACACACAATGTCAGATCTTTTATGTTATGCAGCATAAAGGGTTGTGCCATGGGCAGCAGTTATTATTATTGTTATTATTATACAGGATTATATAGCGCCAACAGTTTGCTCAGCGCTTTACAATATAAGGAAGACATTACAATCACAATACAATTCAAGACAAGATGGTAAGGAGGGTCCTGCCCATGAGGGCTTACAATCTAAAAAATTGTAAGCTCTGAAAATCAGCTCCTCACACTGATAAATTATTCTTCTAAGGGATTGTGTTACTTTTTCTAAAACCAAGACGACCAGCTTAAAATCCTCCAGCAGCCACAGAGCAGATTCCAGTCAGGTGATAAGAGAAAGTTAAAGGGAAAAAGGACCCCCACCTTTGGGAACAACCCACCAATTCAAAGAGGTTTTCAGGTTTTATTGGAAATGGAAAACCCTTTCTTTTCAAGCTGTCTTCTATTTCTTCAGCTTTAATTACATTTGATCTGTTTCCCTTTTTTGGTGTACAGGCAACTCCTGTGAAAACTTCACGGCCAAAGCGGCCTTCAGGCACAATTGATTCTATAAATCTGGATGCCGTTCCTCAGTCTGTTGCTCGACTAGATAACAGTGCTGCTAAACACAAACTTTCCGTCAAGCCAAAAAACCAGAGAGTGTCAAAGAAACACAGAGGCATGTCCCAGGTAGTGTATTTTTGTTCACTAGATTATTTGCTTGTTTTAGATATGCATAATATAATGTCAATACCGTATCATATTTTATTATACATTAGTAGATCATTTTGAAATTTTGTTGCATAGGAATTATTCAACTGCATCAGCTGGTTACTTGTACCAGTACATGTACTTACACAGAAAGGGTGAAGGCCTCCAACATTACCCTTTGAAAACAACTATTGCCTTTTAAAGGCTCTGAAGTCTGATTAGTCAGAAACAAGAGTTCTGTTAGAGAACCATTGTATTTTATTATTATTGTATTGCAATGCCAGATTTTATCATTAAATGAGGCTCAAAATAATACAAGGGTGAGTCAGAAATTACCCGCACTCTGGCTGTAGAATTTATTTTAATCAACTTTTAGAAAAGACAAATACATCATTTTTTTACATGGTCTCCTTGCTTTTCAATACACTTCAATACACACCACTGTCTTCACTTCTCCATCACAGGTGATGTCCAAACGCTTCTGTTTAAGCTCTTCCATGAGTTGTTTCAGTACCAATCTCACATGAAACCTAAGTCTGATGTGGATTATTTCATAGATAGAACTAGGGATGTTCAGATACCAGTTCAGATACCAGTTCAGATACCAGGGCCGATACTTTTCATGAAAACTACCAGGGTTGCCGAGGTTGCAGCTGGTACCTGGCTCTGGCACTCCACCACTGTCCTGAAATCATTAGTCTGTATTGTTTTAGAAAAACTGTCACATGACAATAAACAAAAATTTATCAGTGCATGTATCTGTGAAAAAATGGTATCGGTGCATCCCTTATATATATTTATAAAAAAAGAAATCATACATTAAAACAGGGATGCACAAATCCCAGGAGCCCCGTATGCTTCCTTAAAAATGACAGCTGCCTCCTAACTTTTGAATTTTTCTCTAGCCTAGTCTTGGAGCTGCAAAAGTATCTGTACATGTACTTGTCCTTGTACGGAGTATGGTACTTGGTATCTGAACATCCCTAGGCAGGGCCATGGCTGATTGGAAATGATTTGCCACATAATCCACTGTCACTTGTCTATTAGACAGAATCATTTCACATGTATGCTCAATGTTGTCAACAACTGTGGCTGGGCGTCCGGCTCCTCCTTGATGGCTAACACTTGTGCGACCTTCCTTGAACTCCTCTATCTATTCATACACACTTCTTTGTGGCAAAACACTTTATCCATACTACGCAAAGCCTTCAATAAATAACGGCACCAGGCACACCCTCAGATCACAAAAAATGAATCATTGCACACTGCTCTTCTTTTGTGCAAATCACAAGCAGAGCATCCATTTTTTCTTGCCCCGCAGTTACAAGTGAACTGATGTAACATGTTCATACCTGCCCAGCAGTGACTGGGGAGACAGCAGCCTTGAACGGAAAGCGCTGATAAATCTGTGCGGCCAACAGAAGTTTTAATATAACCGGGGTGTAGATAATTTTTGACTCACTTATGTATCTTCTGGTCTCATTAAAACCCCAACATTAACAACCTATATGTTTCTACACAGAGGGTCTCCTACACACAGTGGATTTGCTTTTTATTGTTGAGCTGGTCATTGTGTATATTGTGATTGTAGATCTTCCATTCTTCTTCTGAATACTGTTTTTTTTAAATGGAATGCACATCAATGTCCTGCATATATGAAAAAGTCAGGCATTGTCATCACCTTTTTTGCTAATTTATTACCTTTTATAGCATTTGAACAATATCAGTAGAAACTGCAATAATAGTTTTGGAATCAAGATGTTTACAGTTCAGTATTATATCTGCTTTAGCTACAACTTCTAATTTATCCACAGGAGTTCCACACTATAGAAGACAATGAAAATGAAATCACTTTAAATATGCAACGATGCCTTGATAAAGCCATGTTCCACTCCATGGATATACCCTTGCATGATATAGTCATGTCTGATCATTTGGAACGAAAAATCCGTGAAACACAACAACTATCTGAGCAATTTCGAACTTTGGTGCCTAAGGGGGAAAACAAGATCAATAAAGATCAAGAAGGCAAACAGCCAGATCCCAGTACCAGCAGACAAGTAGTACAAGAAACTAAACATCCTGATGAAGAGAAGAAGTCAGAGGCAGATAAACGGAAAGAAGAAGAAAGAAAAAGACAAGAGATCATTAAAAACATAGACTTGGAAAGGCTCCAACAGAAAATAAAAGAACAGAATGAAAAGGAACTGAAAGAACAGCGTCGACGTGAGGAGGAGAGAAAACAGCGAGCTGAACAAATTCTGAAAGAATTAGAAGAGCATGGAAGACAAGAGGAGCAGAAGCAACGTGAGCTGGAGCAGAAGAAAACACTTAGACTGGCAGAGGAACAAAAGAAACGGGAGCTGGAAATACAAAGAGCACTTCAGATAGCAGAAGAGGAAAGAAAACAGGAAATGGAGAAGCATAGAGCTATTCAGTTAGTGGAAGAGCAGAGAAAACGTGAACTAGAGCAAAGAGCCATTCAGATAGTGGAAAAGCAGAGGAAATATGAACAGGAAAAACGGGAGACCCGACAGATAGGATGTGACTTAGAGGAGTGGGGAGCACTTCAGAAAGCAGAAGAGCAGAAACAACTGGATGTGAAAACGGCTCTCCGGGTTGCACAAGAGCAGAAAAAAATTGAACTTCAACAGGAGAAAGACCTTCAGATAGCAGAAGAACATAGAAAACATCAGTTAGAGCTAAAACAAACACTCCAGATCATGGAGCAGCAGAAAACACAGGAACTGGGATTACAGAAAGCAGAAGAGCAGCAAAAATCTGTTCAGATAGTGAAACAAAAAGGGCAAGAAGTTTTGGAGAAGAAGGCTTCCCAGATAGCCAAGGAGCAGCAATTACAGAAACCAAAAAGCCAAAGTCAGCAAGAATTAGAAGACATCAAAGTCCAGCAGTGTATAAAAGAGGAACTGAGAACGGATAATCTAAATAGGAAAAAGCCAAACTTTCAAGAAAAAGAATTTTTACGGAAGAAAGAACAACCAATATCTGAGGACATCAAGGGACCTATCCCAGAACATCTTTCTCCTCTGCATACAGAAGCTGTCTCAGCAGAGAAAGATCTGCCCGAAGAACAAAAAATGGAGGTGGAAGTTAAAGAAGATGAGGAAGAACTGAAGCAGATAAAACAAAAGGAATTAGAATCTCAAGAGCAGGAAAGAATTAACCAACTAAGATGGCAGGAACTTGACCAAAAGCAGAGGCCATTTACATTTAAAGTCACATCAGGTGAAAAGCAAATTATATTTGAGAAAGTCAATTTATCTCCAGTTACTGTACCAAAAGAGCCAGTAATATTCCCAGGAACGCAAGATGCAAAAGAAAATAAGGGCACCATTAGTTCACACTCTCTTTCATCTGCTCAATGCATACCCCACACTGCCATTTTGGTAACAGGAGCACAGCTTTGTGGCACAGCTGTTAACCTACATCAGATTAAGGATCCTGCTTGTAAGTCTTTACTGGGTCTCAATGAAGAACGAAAATTAGATATAACAGAAAACAAAATGCAGAACGAAAAGGACACTACTAAACATGTCAGCGGTAAGACAAAGTATACATCAGAAGCATTAGACAATCAGTCATTCCTAGCGGAATGGGCTTCCATTAGGTCAAAAATGCTAAGCAAAGCTGAAAATGTAAATGTTGATGATAACCAAAGTGGTCCACCTGCCTCTGTTGACGATAGGATGGTCAAGGGCAAAAGTGATTCCCATAGCAGCTTACGGAAGACAATGTCAGCTATTCCTAAGTTTTCAATAACACCTGCATGGCAGAAGTTTCCAGAAACTGGAAAATTAACAGAAATTAGTATTGAGGCCTCAATAAAACCTTCAACCAAGGAAAATATAGCAGTATTGCCTGACAGCACACCTCAGGGCAAGACTGCAGAGAGGACAATCATTGTTCAGGAAATGGTGACCAGAATTAAAAAACAGGTTACAATTGATGGGAATGCAGAGGGTTGGATATTTTCCAAAGATCTTCCATCCTTCTTGGTTCCTAACCCACCGCAATCTCCTCGTCGGGGGTATTTGGAAGGGCAAATGTCAGTGGAGACAAAAATAAATAATGGCACTGTGAAAATAGATAAATTCTTGCAAAGTACAGAAGACAAAATCTCACCATTTGGGATCAAATTAAGAAGGACAAACTACTCATTAAGGTTTCATGCTGATCCACAGAATGAACAAAGAAGGAAAAAACGATATAGTGCCGGGGACAGTTTTGAGGGGGTCCCTGCCCCATTAACTCCAACAGATGAAACAGAAATTAGGACTATAACCAAGAAAGAACTTTTAGGGTCACCTGTGAAGATGAAGAAAGATAACCTTACTAAGGACTTAGTAGATACCTCAAGCAGTGCAATTGAAAATGTCCAATTTACAGCCCCCTCATTAGTATCAGGATCAAGTCCCCATGTGTCATTGCCTATTAAAGACAGAGACAGAGTAGTTCCTACATCACCAGTTATACAAAAACCATCCCTTGCTCCAAAACCTGCCAGCCCAACTCCACCATCCTCTCCACTTTCCCATCTAGGGAGAACAAATGTGACTGACCTACATGGACAACGGTTGGAAAAAAATGAGATGGATAAAGAAACAGTTGGAGAGATGAATTTCATATTATCTTCTCCAAATCATGATGTTGTTCAGCAAGACAAAGAAGGACTGTCATCTGTTTCTGGGAGAGAGAAGACAGAAAAAAGGGCTAAGAAAATTGGAAAAGGTTAGTCTTAATATGTACTGTATACTTTAGATCCATACCTCATTTATTTCTGCTTTCGGCTACAATTTGCATCAGGCAGGGCATTCTGTGCTTATATTACCACTTCAAACACTACTTACCAAAGCTTAACTCATGGAAGACAGTTATCCATAGGTAAGGAGACTAGAGGCAGGAAAAATAATATTTCTTTCTCCTTTTCCCCTCACACTTCTGTTAGTACTTTCTCTAGCTGAGGCATAGAGAACTTTCTGTTTTTAGTTCTGTTACTGTAGACTGTGACTGAGATACTAGGTAAAGTCGATATAAAGAATTTAGTTAAAATGGATTATCATCTGTGATGTCTAATGTTGATTGCAGTAGTAAATGTTCTTTATCTAGCAGGATGCTGGGTGAAAATGGAGGTGGGGGCTGTGCAAGCACTTGTCTTCCCACATAAAGTAGAATGAAAGAAAGCTACTTCCTCTTTTTTATTTGAAAGTTCTATTTGTAAATGGTCACGTACATATAACAGCCAACATGGTTTGGGCATGGCACCTACCTCCTACTTCAGGGCCATCAGTAAGACACCATAAAGGAATAGCTTACAACAACTCGGTACTAGAGGTATATTAGAATTGGTATATTATTATTATATATATTTATGGTAAATGGGAGTGGTTAGGTGTGCAAAAAACAAAGGTGAATCCTTTAGTTTTTAGGCAGTAACTGTAAAGGAATTTGGTGGTGGAAGCTCAATGCGGGCCTGAGTCTGTGACTTAGCAGACAAGAGATGTCATTGTGGCAGCTTTGTTAATACATTTCCACCACAACCATCTTTACAGCTACTGGGTCAGACTCATTAGATCTTTCACTCCCCTTCATTTTTTTCCATAACTTTTCTCTCATCTATACCTTCTGTGATCAGCAATTCTACACATCTTTTATTCTGTTTTGCTTATACCCCTGAAAAAGGAGAGGTATCCCCCAAGACATGTTGGCCTTTATGTATAATCAGCCAAAACAACTAAAAGGTTTGCTGGAAGGCAAAGGTTCTTTTTTCGAGGTTCTTTCAGTTATGCAGGCAGGAGACTGTTCACTCACCCTTCTCAGATATGACATTATACTACCCTTCTGTAGAACAAGCAGCCTACAATTTCTATTTCCCTGTGCATACTTTGGAATCATCAAATGATTCTTGTATCTCATTGGGCAATAAAGTGTCCTTATCCCTTTCTTCCCAGCTTTTCTTACTGAACAACTGGTCAATCCTTACCTTTTTCTACAAAAAGATTCTAAAACTAGAGGGTAAGTTGTTATCAAACGGAGCAATTCAATTTAAATTCTTCCCAACAATTTCAATTACATTTTAGGGTGAAAATAACTGTCAATGGTAACCAATCAGTGCAGGATTTAATCTTTTTGGTTACTGTGGGACAGTCCTCTTCTGAGACATATAAAAGGGCCCAATATATTATCTACATTTTTCTAATCATGCAAACAAGGAAGAAATTATATTTATTTATATTCATATAATGTATTTCATATTTAAAGATACATCTAATTCCCATACATTTATTTAGAGTTTCATCTGAAGTCAAAACTGATTGCATATACGTTATAAGTGACAAATCTCACTTCATTAACTGAAGAAAGTGTAGGATATAGTGACTATAATGCAAATTCAGTTTATTCACACACTGTATTATTTACTTAGCAGTTCCTTTCTATTTTCTCATTTTTGACAAGCAAATGTGTGCTAGCTATACAGTATTTTTCTTGTTTGATATATTACTAGACTACAAAGATTATTTGTCATGAACATTTCCTCTTAGTTTAATTTTTAACTAGACATTTAATGGTTTTGTAAACTGACCTTGTGGATCTTTGGCAGTTAGTTTTTATTACAGTTAGCTCAGGTATTAGAGGTCATAGACATAAACAATCTCATTTAAAGTTTTTTTTTATTATGTAATTTGTTATTTGGATGCACAGCATTTGCCAGACTCTTATCTAAACGGAGATACAAGTGCACTATTGGCCTGAGAAACAGCAAATTAATTAATACAACAGTGCAAAGAGAAGGTCTGTCAAGGCAGAGCTACTTTTCAATTGATCTGAGCTGATCCAGGCCCATCATACTTGTATATAATAATGAACTTAAGAAAAGGCTTGGTTGGAGTGGGGGGAGGAAAGGGTCAGAGCATGGCTATGTGCATATCCTGTGCACTGATGGTGAACCGGGGTGATCTCAAATAGGGACTGATGAAAGCTTTGTTCTCTGTATCTCTTCTGTACTCTACTGTACTGTACTGCCTGTGTCTTCTCCAACTTAGTTTTATCCCCATTCTGCCTGACCCTGTTGGCCTTAATTATGTCTTATATTGTTTCTGTATGTAAGTTTGTGTCTGTCCTTACTTATTTCCCAAGTGGTTGTCTCTGTCTCTATCCTTTGTGGTCTCCCCTACCCATCCCCGTCTGGCCCTATATATTCTGTTATTCTAACAATTTGTGTCTGTTCCATTTTTCCAAGTGTATGATCTTATTAATTGTCTCTGTCTAGTTTCCTACATATATGTGTCTGTTTTTTACTGTCTTTTCACACTTTAACTAAATATATATGGGCTGCCTCTGCCCTACCAGAGTCACTGGGGTTTTTCTTTACTATCCCTACCTATCTCTGTCCCTAACTACATATGCCTCTCTGTCCTAACCCTGTGCCTTCCTATAACCTGTATCTATCACTGTATCTACTGACCCAACCTGTGTCTGTTTATTCTTATCCCTGTTCCTACATGTCTGTGCCCTCTGGTTTCTGTCACTTCCTACTAGTGTCCTTCTGTTCTGATCTCTGTCCAACCATACCTGGATCTTTATGTTTGTTTCTTTCTTTGTTCTTGCCTTTCTGTCCATCTGTATCTATCAGTGTCTTTCCTTTCCTGTATGACTATTCCTTTCTGTGACCCTATTGTATTTACCTTTGTCTCTATACCTTGCCTTTGAATGTATATGTGTCTGTCCAGTGTCCCTGGCTGACAGTACCTCGAGTACTTGCATATGTCCCTATTCCACCTCTTTCTTTGCTTTTCCTTACCATTGTCTTCCTGCACACAAATAAAGGCAGCTCCCCCAGTCAACCGAATTTGCCTTAAACCCCAAATAAAATGTGCATAATGTCTGTGCTTTAACCAAGATCTGATAGTATTTAGTAGAAGTTTTGACAATATCCAATGATTTTCATAAAAGCCGACCTTTTTTTCCCACAAGTCCCAAGTCTTTAGTGCCTGTGATGTGGGCTATAGCAAACCACATGGGGACTTAAAAAAATAAGCAATATTTGTTCAGTAACCTTTTATCACCTAATATTTTCTGTTTCTGTCTGTGACCTTTCTGTCCCTAAAATGCATCTGTCCCCAGACTATAGACATTAACGTTTCCACATCTCTTAAGTAGTAAAAGGAAAGTTGATACAAACAATCACTTATATCTCTAGCTGCATATACTGCAAAGTATGATATGAGTATATCCTCCTCAAAGATCATAACAGAGATTTCTAGGTTGGCTTCCGTCAAATTTTCGATTTACAGCATCTGTTTGTTGTTTACATTAGAAAGTCAGGTTTCCGTAGAACATTAAGGGGAAACAACTGTGATTTCTGTGCCTCTGTTGTGAGCTTTGAAGATAATTTTCTCCGCAATGCCTATAGCCACAGAGGTGAATTTCACTTTCACTGCTTTTTCAGAACATGTAAATATTTTTATTTTAGTTTGGGCACTAATTGTTGTTCCCTATCCCTCTCTGTTTAGGTCTGTTCCTACTTGAATCTACCTACATGTTTCTCTCTTTGTTCTTAGTGTAGGTTTTTCTGCCCCTATTGCTGTTCTACGCTCTTCTTGTGTCTGTCTATCATAAACATTTCCAGTTTAATATCTATCAATGTCTATTCCTGCCAATGTAATTCTGCCCTAATCTCTGTTGCTACTTTCCCTACCTGGGACTTTCTGTCTGTACCGTTATCTGTATCTGTATCTTCCTGTATCATTTCTGTTTCTATCTCCCCCCATTCTAGCTCCCCCATAATCTCTCTGTTTAAATTTCTGTGCTTACCTTAGTGTCTCTGTCACTAGCATGTTAAAAGCTGTAATGAAACCATGCTTTTAGATATTTGCATATATTTTTCAAATTTAATTATTGAATATGAAAACATGATATCATCATACATTGAAAGCTGTGCAAAATGACCCTGCAAATGATTAATTTATGAGCATATATTATTGCACTGAGATTTACTCAGATTTAATACAGTCACTTAATTAAATCAAAATCCCAGTTCAATTTCATGATTTCTGTTATGTTTAATACTGCTGAAGATGACTGGGTGAGAATGGAGATCCATTCATGATATCTTTGCACCAGGCCTAGCAGTCTTTTAAACTGACCCCGTAATAAAACTAATGAATCTTGGACTTTTCAGTCTGCTGCTTTCATAATGATCTAAAATGAATCTGACAGTCATAAACCATGGCACTGTATTTAAATATACAAAGTAAACTTGTTGAGTTTAAATGGTTGTATTCCACGCCATTCTAATACTCTAGTTTCTCTATTGTCTATGGAAGAACACAAGATTCTGAAAGAATTGGACACTAGAATACAAAAAAAACTGTAGGCTAGCCTTGGGTCTATAACCCCTCCTAGATCCAGCATGCTTTAATTTTACTAGTGTACTCAGGAGGATGATTCCCTCTCTAATCTCCTCCAAATTTACCTCCTTACTGGATTTTCTTAAGTCTTCAGCTGATGGTTAATTCAGACTAGTCTTCACTAGTCTGGGAGTCTTGCCAGCCCTCTAGCACACTTTTATTCCAGCCATAGTGCTCAAAGATCTCACAGCGACAACCTTGCCGAGCTCTGTCTAGCCTACAGTTGTTGCATATCCTGGTGTCCAAATCTCCTATAAGCAACAGTATAACCTGTCTCCAGAATTCAGAGTTCCCCAACAGAACTGCATTTCACTGTTTTGTTAGAGCTAATTAATCGGCATAGGGACCAGGGGTATAGTACACATTACCCTAGATGAATGGAAGCTAAATGCTCCCAAAGAGCATAGATTAAGCTCAAGGTAACTGTGAGCAGTGTTTGGGGGTAGCGTGCTTCTTTAAGCTGCTCTGTAAAGACGCATGATGCAGGAGAGGCATGGTAGAACAATGTCTTTGGAGATGTAACTCAATATTTGCATATTGAGCATCCTAGTTTCAGGGGCTCAGGTAATAGGATGCCTGATGCCTTTTTTAAGTCCACATACCAACTGAGTACGTTTATTATACCACAGGATTATTGTGACACCGAAAATGGCAATAACCTAATGAAATATGTCCCATGTTCTTTCCTATAACAGACAGGCCTGTCCTTCAGAGTCGACATTCTTTAGATGGCTCCAGGTTGATGGAGAAAGCTGATCCTGCTCAGCCTCAATGGATTACACTCGCTCTACAGAAACAGAAAGGATTTCGGGAACAGCAAGCATCCAGGGACGAGAGGCGGCAAACCAGAGAGGCCAAACAAGTAGACAAATTGACAAAAGAAAATGTAAATAAAATTATTGTTTTAAAAATATATACTTTAATGGTTTAAAGCCAAACTACAGCCAAAATCTACACATTTGCTAATACTTGCTGCGCCATCTGCAGTCACTGCGAGCACCCCCCATTACACGGGATATTCGGTAAGGAATGCGACAAGCAAGATTGAATAGGGACTACTCTAGTAGGTGTCCCCTTCTCCTTCCAGGTTATTTTCTACGTTTTGTTTTTCAACGAGATAATTTCCTAGTGTTCACTTTAGGATTACCTCCCTTTCCCCCTCTATAAAATACTTTGTCCTTCAATTATACCTACAGGATTATGTTCTATCATGAGCAGTTTTACTGCCTGTTACCCTGCTGTTGTTTGGACAGATTCTGTTCTTGTCCTTCTACTTCCTGTCTAACTCTCCTGTTTAATACATGGGTTGTTGGTTAGCGTACCTCCTTCTATTTTCCTGATGGACTTGAAAGTAGTGTTAATAAATAAATATTTTTTTTTTATTACCTCGACTTGGATCATCTGCTCCCTGAAGTCAAGGATTATGGATATCCACAGTCTTACCAGCTCTTTCAATTAATGTTTCCTTTCCCTGAAATCTAGGGTTAGGGATGCTAGGCTGAAGCCCTTTTCTTTTCTTCTGTTGACATGTTGCTACTTGATCCAATTCTTCTGCTATTGCAGGTTACCATTTCAATTCTTTGTTGCTCATTTTTTTACTTATAGTAAAAAAAAGGACCAACCTTATACCTATAGTTATAAGCTAATTCTGTCCTGGTCTGTAACAAAGGTTCAGCCTTGTTGCCCTCTCATTTTCAGACAAGGATTCTTCTAGGATTTCTACCTTCTTAAATTGTTCTGTGGCTATTGTCCACTCCACAGTTGGAGTGTTTTTGGGTGCTTCATTGGTCTAAGAATATCTGCTATTTATGTGTCCCTTAATGGATGATTTTAAAAAAACAGGATTTTTGTACTTACTGTAAAATCGGTTTCTTTCACAACTTCCTGAAGGCAGCAGTATAATCTATTGGTCTAAGATTATCTACTATTTCTGTGACACTCAATGTACTCCAAAAACTAAAATTTACCAACACATTTACCAGGTAGCCTGCAAAAAAAACCAAAAAAAAAAAACACTGCCTACCTTTTAGGGTTAAAAACAGAAGTTTTAGTTGCACAACTTTTGAAAAATATGTGAAAGCCACACTGCCTCATCAAGGCCCCTCTGTGTAGTGTGGCCCTAACTTTAATCTATTAAAGTCTCCATCATGGAGCATATATATATAGCAAAGGATGAATTGGGTGCAGCTTCACCAGGAGCTAGCCCATTCCTCCCTAAAGGCACAGGGACACACCAGAAAAGGTAACAATTCATCCTTTGCTATATATGCTCCAAGATGGAGGCTCTCATAGATTAGAGTTAGGACCAAACTACACTGAGGGGCCTTGACAAGGCAGTGTGGCTTCCACATAGTTTGCAAAGTGGTGCAACTAAAACCTCTGTTTTTAATCCTAAAAGTTGCAGTCGGGCTGGTAAGTGTTCTGGGAAATTTTTGCTTTTGTTCGGTGTAAAGCCCTTCCATGTGCACCTTGAGTGTGTTTGCCATTTGTTTTGCTCAATGTACTCCAAGAGACGGATTTTACAGCAAGCACACAAATCTTGCTTTGTGTGTAGCAGGAAATAGGTAGCACCAGTAGTGCCAGGAAGTTATGGAGCTATTCACTATGTGCAGTTCTGCAGCTTCCCACTTGCTGGGAATGAGTATTACCACACTGGTAAGCGCCTTCTACCTCCTCCTCTACCTTCCTGTACACTGCTTAGACACCTCCCCTCTACCGCTTGAACTATGTTGATTAGCAACACTAAGAAATGCAATGAAGGCTAATTGGCTTACAGTGCCTAAACCTCCTGGCCGCCCAGTCTGATATCTGCTGTACATGTTATTTTTTATTATTATTATTCAGGATTTATAATTTCAGTAGGATTAGGAGGACCCTGCCCGTGAGAGCTTACAATCTGGTAGGAGGGGGAAGTGATACAAAAGGTAATACTTATGGTTTTAGAATATACTTATGTAGAGTGAGTTAGTGTAAGAAGTAAAAGGACAGTTTTTTGTTCAGATGGGACAGGCTTCCCTGAAGAGATGAGTTTTTAAGCATCGCCTAAAGATGGACAAAGTATGAGATAAGCGGACAGATTGGGGTAAGAAGTTCCAGGGGATAGGAGATACTCTGGAGAAATCCTGGAGGAGAGCATGGAAGGAGGTGACAAGAAAGCTGGAGAGCAGAAGATCTTGAGATGAACGGAGAGAACAGTTTTGGTGATATTTTGAGATGAGGTTGGAGATGTAGTTGGGGGCAGAGTCGTAGATGGCTTTGTATGCTGTTGTCAGTATTTTACATAACATTCGTTGGGCAATTGGGAGCCAGTGGAGGGATTGGCAGAGAGGGGTGGCGGAAAATGAATAAGTGGATGAGTCTGGCAGCAGCATTCATTTGATTAAAATCATGTGAAGACAGTTATAATAACAGTATGCTATATTTCTTTTAATAATACATAGATAGTTGAGGTTTTTTTTTTGTTTAAAGTACGATTCCAGGCTAATTTATATCAATACCACTTGGTCCAGAGGTGTGTTAAATTGAAAAAAAACATGTTTGTATACCACTAGTATGAGTAATTTTAGGTTACCCCTCCATAAGGCCCTTGCACAGAATTTAGACTGTGAGTCAGGAATTGTGCAGTGCAATCACCCCAACATGTTTCAGAAGGAAGGTGTTGGAGGGTGTGATTAAGACAGGAAGAGTAAAGATCGGGTAACACAGGAACCTGTGAATCACAGGAGTGGCTGAAATGCATAAGGGTTTGTGTATGTGGGTGTCAGACTCAAGCAAGGTTCATTTAATATCCGTTCTAGTTCAGCTTCACATCCCTTTGAGATGCATTCACACAGACCTATAGGCGGAGTTAAAGTAAAAGCAGTGCAAAAGCCACCAGAAATCCAAGTGAACACTGCTTTACGAGATCCCATTCAAACTTCAGACACCACATTTGAGATCCTTCAAAAATGACTTTTTTTAATATTGGCTTAAAGTAACTGTTAATTTAGTTGTTTGGCAGGAGCTTCACCTTGAAGCCCATCTCCGTGATTTGTTTTGTTTAAAACAAAGATGCCCAGCACAGTTAAAAATGAAAAAAAAAAAAACAGCTTTTGCTGAAGTACACACCTTCTTTCCACCAATGCTCATCTGTGCTCATGCTCAGTGCTCATCTTCCGGGTCGAATGATGCTGTCCAACCCACTTCCTGTGAGCCTGGCCATCACGAACACAATGTCTGGGCGTGTGTTATCACATCAGCCTGGGTTCAGAATATTGCTCAGACAGTGCTAAGACAAGAAGAGGAACGACACATGATGTCACGGTACTGGCCAGAAGACAGCTGGATTTAAGATAGATATAAAGAGATGTTTCTAAACATAGCTACACAGAGCTCCAGAAAGGGGGATAGGCTCAAAAACTAAAGTTGTGCTTTAATGGCCAGGGGTGTTTGTGCCGCATCTTCCATCAGTTCCTGAAGCAAAACTACAAATATACAGATATAAGATGAGCCTGTAGTCTACAGCTAGCCATATACTGTAAGATTTTTCTTATTCAGCTTGCAGGTTAAACAAGGAAATCATTTAATTTCCCCATCCATGCTAATGAGGAGGAATCTCTGGCTTTTGTATTCTGACAGCCAGCCCCTGTGGCTCTCAGACTACCCAAAGAGTGAGTACAGCTCATTGGCTGCAGTCACTGTTCAGCCAACAATTTTCACCAGTAGGACCAATTAGGCAGAACATGGACATAATTAAATCTGTGTATGGCTTGCTTAAAAGAAGTTGGACTAAAATAACCGTCCTAAAATATAGCAAAACCCTTATTATAATGTCATACAGAACTGGAGGCCATTGCGGTTTCATTTGTCTTAGTGACGTAATTAATTTCTTGTGAATTGGATTACACACAAATATTATGTCTGGGTACATATTAGCTTCTTCCAGCACACTGATGACATGTACAAAACCTATTGTTTTTATTTATGATTTCATGTCAGCCACCCACTGTATACACTGGGGAGTACCGGGGAAGAAGTGGCTCACTCCAGAAACCGCTGCCGCAGGAAGAGAAGAAAAGTGACACAGTGGTGACCAGACTACAACGTAGAGAACAGCTGCAGAAATCCAACACTCTTCCAGCATCCGTCACAGGTACTAGTCAGGGAAGACAGACACAAGGAAGGGAGAGGCAACTCTAACATTACAAGAAAAAGAGTTATTTTTAGTAATAAAATCTATGTGGTGATTAGGCATATTCATATTTTGTAGTATTACAACCTGTCATGAAAATAGAGCTTATTTGGATTTTTACAACACACTAAATGTTAGGATCTAGGTCAGTTTTATCCCCTTTCTGTGTCCCTAGATTTGTCTTCAGTTCCTATTGTGTTGCCAACACAGTAAGCAATGAGATTCTCCTAAACAGACAGACAATAATTAAAGCACATAAAGTATGTGAAAGAGGACAGAACAGGTTGTTATTGCTGCCTGTGTCCCCATTGGGACTTCCTTATTTTCTGTTTTGTCACTGGGACAGGGAATCAAGGGAAACATTGGCAATCAAGATAAAGGAAGCAATAAAAACCTGACAGAGATTCTCTAAGCCATCCCCATTTTACACAAATTATTTGCAGTCTTTGTCCCTGTTGGGGAGATATAGGCAGAGTCTTAATGGACAATAAACCTTGCAATAGCAATATCAGCCAAATGTAGTACTGGAAGGGGGTTGGGAATACTTATGCCAGTAAGTTTCTTCCAAGCTCCATATAACTGTCTTTGGGGAGATTTCCCCTCACTTGATGGGTATCAAACATAATAGAAATCTTCCCAAAGCCAATACTGGCTACAAAAATAGACATTCTGCCTTATATTTTCTCTATCCAAATCTAAAAAAAAAGGTTTGGATAGAGTTAGGCTTTATTGCCAAAGGATAGGTGTGACCACTGAAGTCCTGCCTCCGGTGGCATGAAGGAACATACTGCTCCTCCTGGTTACAGGTACTGCAACTGATTAGCTTTAAGTTTACATAGTTCTTAATGTGTAATTCTGATTAAAGGCGAAGTCTGTTATTTGTTAACAATGGCCTTATTTAATAAGATAGTTTTTGTCCTTGTGAAAAAATAGGTAGCAAACGCATATGAATAGGAAACAATGCTAAGTTTGTCTCCACACAGTATTGCACAAAAAGACTGGTGTAGTGGGTTTTCAAGAATCCTAAGTGTAGCAACATGGAATGAACTCCACCTCCCATTACCTCCTGTGCAACGCTGAAAACTTGGAACCCTTGTCCAGGTATAGGTTGTAAGGCATGGCAGGCAAGTCCAAACGCAAAAAAAAAAAGTGCAGTAGTTCCCACAAGCAGTGATTCAGGTGCAGCTCATTGTTGTAATACAAGATAGCAGTAGTAGATTAGCCCACAATTAGCCATAATAAATTGCCATTGCTGACCTCCTACCAGAAATGCTGATTTCCAGATTTAACCAAAGGACCCTAATTTTTGAGTCCGTAAGTCACTGGCCTGGAACAAGTGTGAGGATAAGGGGCCTCACTCCACCTGCTACCATGTCATATACAGGGAACAAGTGGAGAAAAACATCTTGCCCTCCTCTTGATTTCTGAAGAGCCTTTTGTAGTAGAATACTTATCTCCGATCAGTTGATCCCCAGGTTCCAGTGGTGTATGTTACCTGTTGCTATGTTAGTCGTCCTTGTCTGATGATATCCTACATACTTGTGGACCCAAGTATTGGCTGATCAGAGGTAATTATTCTACTAGGACTGCTTAGGAGGGGAGGATAGGTCCTTGGGTAACAGAAGCATGAACCTGTGTACCTGTCCTTAAACCTGTAGATGACTCCAAGATAACATTAAATCGGTGACTCTTGCTTATTTATGTACAAACCTAAAAATGTTAACTCATTTTATTTTTCTCCAAAACAGTGGAGATCACAGAGACTGTCCCAGTATCTCTTGCAAAGGACCTTCCGAAGAGATTCTCCACTCCTGATGCCTCTCCAGTGTCCTCTGAACCAACATGGCTGGCATTAGCCAAGAGGAAATCAAAAGCTTGGAGCGACTGTCCACAAATTATCAAGTAGATCATCTGTCTTAGATGCATAGACTCTTAGATGTCCGTATATTTTCTCTGTGTTCCACTATATGGATGACAGACATGCACAGTGATGGAAGTTCTTTGAGGTCTTACTCAAGGACTATTAATATAGTATTTATTATTTTGGTTAAATGTGAACAAGTAAATAACCTGAGTTTATGATATGGTGAGCAGGGGAAAGTTATCTTCTATAGGGCTATGAAATAATATCCTGAGCAAATAACCGTGCTTGTGCTTTGGAATCAATGAAAAGAGCTCACTATGCCTCTGACTCCACACAGAAATATACTGCCTTCAGGTTCCCTTTGGGCTTGTGTATATTGTTGATTATAGGAAAATGACACAGATTAGTTTTTATCTTTGTTAAAATATAGGTGTCAACAACTGCACAAAATGATGTCTTCTATGGACCAATATGGCCAATACAGTTTTGCACTTTTTCTTTATACTCCGTTCATATTTTGCACAGAATGGTTGTATGTGCCTCTGCTACACTGCTGTTGACTATATGGTGGGTTTATAATATTATTTCCAGTCACTGTTGGACTGACCATTAAACCTACAAAATAAAGTGGTCCTCTAACCCTAGGAGGACTCTTTCAGCATGCTTGGTACCAGAAAAAAGAGAACCAGTTTAAAAAAACCTCCCATTGCCCTATAATCCTAAACTAATGCATTTTATAGATGTAAATCATTATGCATTTGTGATGGTAATATATTTTGCAAAACATGTATAGATATTATGTTGATCATCTTTTGAACACACTTTCCAGTCATTTTGCATCTCTGTATTACCTGTAAAAAGGTACCCTTAGCCCAATGCTGGCTATATATAGACCAATTTTTCAACTGATTAATTGAAGATTGTAAAGACATAGTTCTTTGTCAGTTGTGCAATGAAAAGAACATTCCCATTGGTTTACCAAATAAAATCCTTAAAGAATAAACCTGTCAGAATAGAATTATGGGAGCCACTGTTGCTGTTTTTCTTATCCCAGCTCCAATACCGAGTTAGCTCCAGACCTGGAACAAGTTGGGCTTTTTTTAGACTTCCATGGCATGGTGCTGGTTCCGGGTCATCAGCTCTCTTGTCTGTTCTTAAAGGTTCAATTTTAAATCCAGTAATCAGCCATCATGGGAATTTTGCAACATGGTAATAAATCTGTGTTCTATAGACTTATGTTGCATGTGAAAGCTTGCTGTTGGATGACTTAACATGAACATGAATCCATTATATCCTAGAGATGCAGCCATTTGTCCAGACTGCATTTAGGGTGTGAACGGCCTGCATGAACTAAACAATTGCTCACGTAAATACTTTTCTATTTCTTTGTGACATGCACTGACATGAGATTGATTTAAAGTGTGAACTGCTGTTGGGACCGGAGGGGTACACTCGATCATGCACATAAACAACATCTGTAGTCATATGCTATTATATTTAGGGAATATTTTGTGTACGAGCGTGTGTGTAAAATGGCTGTCAGTTTTACAGGCGTGCCTTTGGTCTGGCTGTTTAGGGCAGTCATATAGCAGGGCTATGTTAAATTTCTCAGGATACTAGAAGTGACTGTACAGTCCCAGCACAGAACACAAAGCAAGATCTACTGAACTTTGTTTCAGTGTGATGATAGCTGATTGATTGAAGAAAGAAAAACAAAACTATTATCTAATCCTTTTCAGCTTCACTGTAAATAAGTCAGGCTGAAATATGTAACACAATGCTAAATGATCTTAGCAATGAAAGATATGCTTAGTTATAGAAAAAAGGCTGCATCATATTATATACAATAATGCAACTAAATACTCCATTCTTAAGGATGCTTCCTCAACTGATTTTAAAATTCAGAAGTTGCACTTAGGTACTCTTGTGATGAACATTTTACTGCTCTAAAAAAACAAATTCATCAAATGAAGTACATTAAGTGGCAATTTATAATGAAAGGTATAGGTGTAAACGTTTTAGGAACTCCAGATTTAAATCTTTAATCTCTAGTTTAAAAAGAGGCTTCTGGAACAATGGTGTTCCTGATGCAGGTAACTGAATGAATGAGGATCTCCTACGTACCAGTCCTCTGCATGCCACCGCCCCCCCCCCATTTTCTGCTCCTTAGATGTATTAGAGAACCAGAAAAGCAATGTTTGTTCCCCACCTACGCCTTATGCTGTCAGTGTATGCTAAATGCACTGAGGACTTTTCCAATGCTCTTGAAACAGAAAGTGCAATCAATGATTCAGCTGTTGCTTTCACCTTCATCAGTAATAGGCAGGTAAGAACAGCAGGGCTAAACCCTACTACATTTTTGGAAAGAAGATAGTTGCTGCCAGTAACACAGAGCATGGACATGTTTACTGGGTGGTTGCACTTCTGGCTCAGGTTTTCTAGTATAGTGCTGTCACCTACATGAACTTGCTGGACATTGCTTTCCAAAACCGTTGGGATTAATAAGGCATTACCCCTTATTACAATATTTTGAAGTGTGTCCATGGAAATTTGCGCCCATTCAACCAAAAGAGCATTTTTGAGGTCAGGTATTAATGTTAGCCAAGAAGACCTTGCTCACAATTGGAATTCTAGTTTATCCCAAGGGTTGTAAGCCGCTCTCCATCCTGACTCGCTTTCACAGGAGGCGGAGCGGGGAGGTGCGGGAGGAGAGCTCGGCTCCTGTGCCAGCTGTCTCTGCCCTGCACGGCCTCCGGTGCTGTCTCCTCCCTGCTCTGCCTCCTGAAACCTTCTCTCCTCCCCACTGGACACCAGTCTCTGCTGCCTCCGCTGTCTCGGCCATTATGGTACTTTAGGCATTTTTTCCAAAGCACCATTTTCGGTCTAAATGGTTCGGCGGCTAAAATTTCAGTGCATCCCTAATATAAAGTGCACAGTTGTCTAAAATGTATTTGTATGCTAATATTTGTCAACAGAGATTCCATGGCAAGGGTATTCATTTTATGCGCCTGCTTTTCAAATATGATGTCCAACAAACTCATATAGGTCCAATGGACAACTGTTCGCAAATGTTTGTCCATATATTATACTGTACCTATCAAGGAGAATGCAACAAACATGGGTACACCACTGAAGTGAACTGGCCTTCATATTTCTTTTTTTCAGGCCAGAACATAGAAATTGCAGCAGCAAAACACATGTAATATGCACATTTATGCACAACAAAACACATGCATTACAAAAACCCTGAAAAATGCAAATAATTTAACAATGCAAAGCAAGAATCCAGCCTTACCGAAGAAGCCCTATAGCCTCCAAATCTCAGGTTTGGTAAAAGTAAATATTTTTGCATTGAGAGTAGTAACATGAGTGTCTAGAAAATAGATTTATGACCTTTTTAGTTTTCAGATTTTTTTACATTTCTGTGATCTTCAAACTGCCCACTTCTTAAATCATAAAATATAAATGTTAATTGGAGCGATTCGAAAACATAAGGGTGGGGTTTCTAATTGTTTTGTCTCACCCAGTAATGTAGCATAAATAACATTTACGATAGTGATGGAGAACTTGGTGATGGAGATATCTGCCGTGCTGTAAACGTTTGCTATTTAGAAAATGATGACCTTCTGTTCTGTGCTAGAAGACATTTCAGGCTGTGATGGGGAGGAAGGTAGCTGTGTAGATGGAAATCTCTCCATGCAAAGTCATAGCCGAGTTCCAATAAACTCCAGAAGTGTTTAGCTTTAGCTCTGTAAAATTCTTTAATAGAGCTTTCCTATGGTTTTGAACCTTTCACATGTATTCCATTTTAAAGTGCATTTCCACTTCTGCTGTCAAATTTGAGAACGCCCCACTGTGTTATGTGTATTCATTCACACAGCACACCTAAAAATGATTTAAATCTTTCTTACCTTTCTAGTTGTTTCTTTGGAGCAGAACACATAGGACCCTGCAGGCAACTTCTATGGCTTAGAATAGCTTGCAATGTACAATGCTTTTTAAGTGCATTAAATGTACTATCCAAGACTCAAGATCTTTAACCCTTTGTTAGAACAGAAAGTGGCAGATCCTCCAGAACAGTAAAGACAGGTTAATTAAGATTGACGTAATTCCTCAGCCCCCTTCTTAACATTACATACAAGGGGAAAGCTAGGTTGGAATTTTAAGCAAGATAAGCAGCAGTTAAAAGTAATATTATGTGAATGGGAACACGTAACAAATAGTAAGTAGATGTTATCCCAATATGGCTGCAAAAGTGGAAATACAATTTAAAGTAGCATTAAGGTCTGGGCATTTTTTTACCCTAATGCATTCTCTGCACTAGGGTAAAAACAGCCCAGGACCTTTTTTCTCCCCCCGTCCCCCCCACACTTACCTGTCAGCTATGCTCGTCCCTGCCGCCGGTCCCGAAGAGGTCCTCCGGTCCCCGAACTTCCAAATTGTTGGGCGGAGAGGAGCGGCGTGGTCTGCCACAGGGCTGTGTGTGTCTATGGAAGCACACAGCCACTGCGCACATGAGCACGCACGAGTGCCTCCATTAGTCGATGGAGGCATCCGTGTAGGGGGCAGGGGGGCGATTGCTGCGGGGACCCACTAGAAAACGAGGAATTACAAACTTTTAAAGAAAAACAGCAACAGCCTCAATCAAAGGTGGGTCTCCTTGTAGGAAATATTTTTTTTAAAAAAGCTTTAATATCACTTTAAACCTTGTTAACAATCATTCAATACTGTTCAGTAAGGCAAACAATGTACAAAGTGGAGTAACGGCCTACCACCAATTAGCAACCATATTCCATTGTCCTGACCAATTAGTCCCCATTCACACCTAGGAGTTTTGTTGGGCAAAACAAGAACTCCAATTCATGCCTATGGTCCCTATTGACCCCTGAGCGTTTTGTTGCAAGCTGTAAAACGCCTGGAAAAGGTACATGAGCTTCTACTTGCCTGATTGCAGCGCATTTTGTCCCTATAGACTCAACGGGAAATACGAGGCACGAGGTTTCCCATTTTTGCATGTGTTTTAGGCACGTTCACCGGTTAACATTAATATCTCACAACATTGACGTGCCATACCTCTGGTTCCGGGTGAGGCATTCCCCAGCCTTGCCACGCCCCCAACCTAGTGTGAAGGAAGAAGGGAGGAGCCTCCTTGACCCTCACTTGCTCATCACTGCTGAGGCATCGAGATCAATGACCTCAGTGGGGGGTTTTTTTCTTGATTGGACAGCTTGGACCAATGGCGCTTTGCCATTGGTCCAAGCCATCCACAGAGCTCACGCCTCTAACAAAGAGTAGAGGCTGTGACAGCTCTTTCCTCAATAGATAGGTTACACAAGCAGTGGGGAAGCCCGCTACTGTGTAACCTAACTACCTGTCAAAAGCCGGATGCAGCACTGCCTGTATTTAACAGGCAGCGCTCCGTCCATGACAGGTTACAGAGCGGGGAGGCTTTCCCTGCTGTGTAACCTGTTACAAGCCGATCTGAATGGAGAAAAAGCTGTCAGCTTCAGACTCTAAGCTGACAGCTTTTTCCTCCATAATACTAGCTGAGGCTCTGCCTCACCTGACCGCACGTCCCTGTCTCACAGTCTGCCAGATGAAAAGCGCAACTTAACGTACATATGCCAGACACTCAGCTGAAAAGCGCTGGACAGAAATGCACAAAA